GTATTATGGTCTAATATTTTTGTAAACAATATATATCGATTTATAGCATTTTTTAAAGGCCAGGAGGAATTAAGTCATTGAACAAACGTCTCTAGGTGGTGAATTATTAGTGACTTTTTTCTTTGTGCTTTTGTTTTCCAGGTTTTCTCCACTGAACATGTATAATTTTCTAATTAGAAGGAAACTTATCTTTTATATGAATAATACATATTGATCGATTTAAAATCAAATTATAGATGTATGAAAAGAAAAAATTGCTTATCATTTCAATGATTTGGAGGCTCTGTAATCTCTGCAGTCCTTAACCACAGAAAACAAGTATCATTTGTTTGTCCTCTGAAGTTGCTCTTACTTGCCACTTTATACTGAGCTGCTGGAAAATATTTAACCAACATTAACAGCAACACTTTGCCTTCTGTCGTACTGTATTGGCTAAACACGTCTTCCTTGCTTCCCTTTCAGTATCCTACTCCACCCAGTGCCCTTTACAGAACTAGTCTCAGAACACAGATTGCTGTTAAGGAGGCAGAAAAGCCAATCGACCAGAAATGACCTCAGATGTAAAATTCTAAATCGGAAGGGACTCAGAGATAAGCTATCTTAGTCGACTTACTTTACAGATGAAGAAACAGATCCAGAGAGTTTAGATGGCTTGACCAACACCTTGAAACAAATTAAAAGGATTTGACCCTGTCTCCTGACTCACTTCATGGTGCAGTCACATCCCAGAGCTGCAGTGGAGACTAATCCTTCCATCCAGGATTAGACAGCAGCCAAAGGCCATGCTAAAAACTAGCCTCAGGTCTAAGAGTAACTTCAGAGCACTCTCTTCACATGCTTCCCACCATTTCCTCAGCCAAGTGTCTGTGACTGTAGCTCTTGGAAAAGTAGCCATTATCCTCCCATACCTATATGTACCTACAGGGATATTCCATTCCTCAGGAAGCCAACTTCCTGCAAAGAGCAGGTCCTTAGCAGAGGGCAAGCCTGGATTGTGAATGCCCTGTGACCTGCAGGGACCTTACCCTCACAAGGCATGAGAGTAATGAGGGTTTAGGCTTCCTTGTTAGCACCAGTAATGTCCCTGCCATATACTAGCTATGTGACCCTGTCCCAGTGTCTTGATCAGGAAATGAATGATAATTACTATTTATTGTACTTACTCAGCATATGTGTGCCAGTGTTCTAGCCCTGTGGCTATGTGGTTTATTTATTTTTCATAATAACTCTACAGCCTCCAGTCTGAAAATGAGGAAATGGAGGCTCAGAGGGGATGAGGAAAGTATCTAGCCCAAGATCATATGGTGGACAGTAGCTGAGCTAAGATATGAACCTACATCTACGTCCAGAGTCCTTGCCACTGACGCTGGCCTGTAGCAGGTCTGCCTTCCCACCAGACACTCAGCTGCAGGAGGGCAGGGGCCAGGGTGGCTGGCTCTTCATGGAAACTCAATTCAGTACCTTCTAAATGAATGCATGCCAAGACCCGCATCACTTTCCTCTCCTTTTCTCTCTGAAACTCATTGGCACAAGCATGTATTTTCTCTATTTCCAGGCCCTCTAAATGGCTCTGGATCCTACTTGAAGTCGCTATTGTTTCCTGCTTCCCCCTTCTATGTTTATTATTCCTCATTTTTACCATCTCTGTTTCACTGTGAAGCCAGGCAAGATGTTCGGTGTTAAGATCATAATGTAATGCTTTTGAGTTTTTAAGAAGGTGAACTCTCTATAAACCAAGTTTTCATTATGGGATAGTGATATACATCTAACATCGAGGCTTCTTAAAATTATTTTTGTTTGTTTTCAAAGCTTTTTGATTTAGTGTACAGAGAAGAGACTTTACTTAATGTCATTAAAAGTGTCACTCGCAATGGACGGTCCATCATCCTGACAGCGGTTCTGGCTCTGATCCTCGTTTACCTATTCTCAATAGTGGGCTATCTTTTCTTCAAGGATGACTTTATCTTGGAAGTAGACAGGCTGCCCAATGAAACAACCGTTCCAGGTAGGTTTGGGATCATCTGATCATTTTAATGTTAAAAGAATATTTCCTGGTTATAACTGAACAAAAGAAAATAATGACTAGCAATGTAGACATCTCCCCATTGCATTTCCCTAACACTCAGAGTGTGAATTTCAAATACAGGTCTTCATTCTCACTTTACTCGAAGGGCAATGTGGCATATCAAATGCTAAGAGTGAGTGACCAGATCTGACATTAATTTATTCACTAACATCATATGTTAAACTAGTGCAACCTTTTTGTAAAGCAGTGACCATGTATATTGAGAGGGTTGGGGTATGCATCCCTTTAACTTAGTAAGTCTACTTCTAGGAATCTATACTTAAAGAAAAAAAGCCTACTGACTGTGCATGTAGAAACAGACGTATATGGGAGGACTTTTGCAGCATTGTATAGGAAGCAGTCTAAATATTCAGGAGTGTTTCATCAGATCATGGTACATCCATGAAGTGGGGTGTCTTGCACATAGGTACATCTTTATAACCCTCCATGGAAAAATACCCACAAGACATAGCAGGAAATGGCAGAAGGATAACTATAGTAGGATCACATGTATGTCTTTTTTTTTTTTTTTTAAGAATGTCTTTTTTTTTTTTAAGGTAGGATCTCACTCTGTCTTCCAGACTGAATTGCAGGGGTATGATTTCAGGTCACTGCAACCTCCGCCTCCTGGGCTCAAGCAATCATCCCACCTCAGCCTCCCGAGTAGCTGGGACTGCAGACACCTGCCACCACATGTGGCTTATTGCATTTTTTGTAGAGATGGGTTCTTGCCATGTTGCCGAGGCTGGTCTTGAACTCCTGGGCTCAAGCGATCCCCCAGCTTTAGCTTCCCAGAGTGCTGGGATTACTGCTACCATGCCCAGTCTTTTTATGCTTTCTTGAAAATTAAAAAGCTTATATACATGGATTAAAATATGGATAGCTGTACCTCCAAACTGCTAGCAGTAGCTCTCTCTGGGGCTTTTTTTTTTTAACACTATATGCAGGTTTTACAGTGAGCTCGTGTTATTTTTACACACAGCAAGAACAAGAGCTTTCCAGTTTTGAGAGTAAAAGACCATAATACTTCAGTGATACCCAAGTGCCCTTTTCTCTCAGTTAAAATAGTTGGCCCTTCTTAGTGAAATATTACTGGTTTTTCATCAGGTAGCCAGGCACCCCTGAGTCTAAGGAACAGACTAGAATCGTTGTGGCTGACTGAGCCAGCCAGCCTTTGTGCTCTCCCTCCCAAATGCTGTGTTCTTGGCATGTATCTCCAGCCTCCCAAGTTGACACTAAGTGACATTTACTGCCAGCCATCTTAGAATTGTGGACTGAACCAGCCTGGACCTTGGATTTCTATTCATGCCTGCTGATACTTCTCATGTAGACTTGGTATAAATCTTGCTGGAGTCAGTACGTTCAGTAGTATCTGTCTAAGAGTTTCAGCTGTTTGTCTTTAAAGTTGGAGAGGTGCTATTTAAGTGCGATATTTCTAGTAAGCCTACAGGAATTGACATTTTTGGCTTTTTTCCCATCCAGATCACCAAAGGAAAGTGTAAATTGCATTTCTGCTTTGAATTTATATGCAAGATTCTAGGGTGTTATTTATGTAAAGAATTGTTTAATCAGCCGTGAATTGGGGACTTCAAACATTTTAACCATATGCTGCCAGATTGTTCATCATAAAATTTCCTTCTCTCTCCCAGAAACCGGCGAGAGTTTGGCAAGTGAGTTCCTGTTCTCCGACATGTGTAGGGTGGAGACTGGGGAGAACTGTTCCTCTCCTGCACCCAAAGAAGGTAGGACCTCCTAGCTGTAAGCCCCACGTTCATATCGGACTCCCCCAGAGGCTTAGCTGATGCAGGTGATGTTAGAAGCAGATCAGATTTACTGCTCCAGAGTAAGGCTATAGCAAAGGGGAAAGGCTGGGAGAGAGGAGGGAGATGAAGAGCAAAGAAGGCTACACATAAAGAAAAAGATCTGATGTGATTCAGCTGATTTATACTGAGTTATACTGAGTGCCCACTGCTTGCCAGGGACTATGGTGTCCTCTAAGAGACAGTAATGTAGAGAAGGATGCGGGCAAGCTAAATAATGATTGCTAGAGAGTATGTCCAATGCTGGGAATAAGGATGGAATACAGAAGATAGGCACTGGCCTACTATTGGGGTAAGAGTATCATCAAGGTGGTGATATCCAAACTATAACAGAAGACTGTTGATATTCCAAGGAGAGGGAATAGTACATCTAAAGGCTTAAAGATAAAAAGAAAAAACCAGCAAGTTTGGGGAGATAATGCTTATAAAGAAGGAGGTGAGTAGCAAGAAATGAAGCCACAGATAACAAACGAAGGGCTAGATCATGAAGGGTCTTCTATGTCAGACTTAGGAGGTTAAACTTCATCCAGAGGATGATCAGGGTTGTTGAAAGATGAGTGATGAGATCTGTGTTTTAGCAAAACCCTTCTGCAGCTGGAGAAAGGAATGAAGCAGACAGCAAGCATGGCTCTTACTGCATAAAGCAGTGAGAATGAACAGCCTTTAATGTAAAGCAGTTTATCCAGAGCCCCTGCCATGAAGTGTCCCTGGATTTAGTCCTCACATCATCCCCAGTGAGGAACCTGGGTCCTGTGGCGTAACTCTCATCTGAGAGATGCCTGTGACTCAGAGTAGCAAAGCAACTCATCTGACATGAAAAGACTGTTTGCAGCTGGGTCTGGGGTTTAAAACCTGGAAAGGACAGGGCATGTTTTAGATCCCACAGAGGGAGAGCAATACTATACCATAGCTAGAGAAATTAACATGAAAACAGAGTTGCCCAGACAACTTTAGCTTTTGAAAGCAAGTACTCGGCTCTTGATTCCTTAATTTTTATTCTTTCATGTGCCTGGTGAGATGGTACTCAGGAAACAGGATTTCAAAATCCCAGTCTCTCCTTTCCCCTCACGTTTTCTGTCTGTTATTACTTGCTGTGTTCACAGAGCTGGTCCCTGCAGAAGAAACGGAAGAGGATAAAGAGCACACATGTGAGACACTGCTGATGTGCATTGTCACTGTACTGAGTCACGGGCTGCGGAGCGGGGGTGGAGTAGGAGATGTGCTCAGGAAGCCATCCAAGGAGGTAAATTAATCCCGAGGGGAAGGAAGGGCAGAGGGGGCGGGTGGGGTGGGAGCACCATGCAGTGGTGTTGAGTGTAAACTGAAGACGCAGAGGAAGAGCTGGGAGTAGGGCTGAGCAGCTGCGGAACTAGCTTGTCAGGCTTCTTTCCTCCCTATCACGTGAGGAGGTGCCACAAAATCAGCTGCAGGGAAAGGGGTAGCTCTCACTCTCCATTGAGTAGACTTAGGGACTTTTCCCGTCAGCATTAGGTCTCATCCACCTGAACGCACATCCAAGATCCCTCTGGGCTGTGTCACACAACAGTTGGAGAATTCACAATTGAGACAGGGGATGTGAAAAGAGAGGCAGCTTTGAGATTAAAAGTTTAACGCCCAATTTAATTTCTGCCCAAGTAGATGAGGTCTCACTTGAGCTGGGTGGACAAAAGGGTTATGAGGGCCTAAGACTCATTCAGACACCTCTCTTTTCCAGGAACCCCTGTTTGCTGCTAGAGTGATTTATGACCTCTTGTTCTTCTTCATGGTTATCATCATTGTTCTTAACCTGATTTTTGGGGTTATCATTGACACTTTTGCTGACCTGAGGAGTGAAAAGCAGAAAAAGGAAGAGATCTTAAAGACCACATGCTTTATCTGTGGTGAGTGTTGCTGGCCAGCTCCAGCAAGGGAGTGAAGGCCCAGGTGGCAAACGCACATCGAGACTGCGAGGGTGTGACGGACTGGGGGAAGGGGTACCGGCTGCTTCCTCTTGACTCTCTACCCTCAGCAGTGAGTGAGGCTGTACTTGGCATTTATTCTGCTGGGATGTATTTGCAGACCTGGGTTCTGACTGAGTTTCTACCACTTACTTTGTAACCATCATTTAGTCATTTAACATCTCTAAACTTTCTTTCCTCATCTGTAAAATGGGTACAATAACATGTCCTTCTCTGCATTATTGTGAGAATCAGGAGAGACAGCATATGTGACACTCCTAGCTAGAACCCGGCACACTGTAGGCATGGGAGGAGTAGTGAACTGCTACATAAAAGAGGTGATGGGCAGCAAAGAAAAAATGTTCAGTATAAACACAGGAAGATATTTGTAAATGTAAACTAATCACAGAGGAGTCTGGGAGCTGAGTAATCATATTAATAATATGAGTACTGAATATATAAATTTCCTAGTGGTATGTATGCTAAAAAAAATGAGCATTTTCCAATTAAAGACTTAAATTCTTTGCATTTTGCCCCCCTAAAACCTTTTTAGGATTTTTGCATTGGCATAATTTCAGAGTTACAGAAAAGGCATGACTGTCCAAAGAATTTCTGCATGCTCTTGACCCAGAATCTCCAAATATTAATATTTTATCTCATTTGCTTTACACACACACACGCACACATGCACACACACACACTTTTTGCATGTGAGTGGCTGACAATGATGCTTTCTAATCCTTAAACATTTTAATACACATTTCCTAAAAATAAGGACATTCTCTTGTTATCTACAGTATAATTATCAAAATTGGAAAATTAAAACTGATCTAGCACTGTTACCTAATCTACAGAGCTTATTCAGATTTCACCCTTCATTCCAATAATGTCCTTTCCAAACCCCACCTCCTGTGGGGCTTCAGTCACCATGCCTCCTTAGCCTCTGCTGACACTGTTGAAGAATATAGGTCAGTTATTTTGTAGAATGTCCCTTGATTTGGGACATTATCTGATGTTTGAAGATATGTGGTCTTCCATAGGAATATCAAAAACATGCTGTTGTGTTCTTCTCGTTGCATCATATCAGGAGGCACTTAATGCCAGTTCATCTGGTAACTGGTGATCTCGGCTCACTGTAACCTCTACTTCCTGGGTTCGAGCAATTCTTGTGCCTCAGCCACCTGAGTAGCTGGGATTACTGGTGCCTGCCACCACACCTAGCTGATTTTTTGTATTTGTGTAGAGGTGGGATTTCACTGTGTTGCTCAGTCTGGTCTCTAACTCCTGAGCTCAGGCAATCTGCCCATCTTGGCCTTCCAAATATGCTAGGATTACAGGCCTGAGCTCCTACACCTAGCTGTGATACTAACATTGTTGATTTGGTTAAGGTGCTAATCACTATATTTCTCCAGTAACTCCATGAAGTTACTTTTTAAGGAGACATACTTTGACACTTTGTGAATATCCTGCTATTCCTTAAACTTTCATACTTTAGCATTCATTAATGATGTCTGACTGAATCAATTATGATGATGGTTGCCCAATGATGACTTTAATTTTATTATTATTTCTACATTTCTTTACTAGCTTTTTACTGTAAGAAAGAATTTTTTCTTCTCTCCACATATGTATGTATATTTCTGTGTTTATATTTGTAACATGAACTCATGGATTTTATTTTGTTCAATGGGCTGTAATCCTGCACTGTCATTATTTATTCTGATGTTCAGGTTGCTTCAGATATGGCCAGAGAGCCCTTTCCAGCTGGCTTCTGGGTTTAGTTATATCATCATCATTTTCTATGTACTTTCTTCTGTTTTTGGCATCATAAGATATTCCAGGCTTAGGCTCACCTTGTACATTTCCTGACACATCCCTGGAATCAGTCATTTCTCCAAAGGGCCCTGGTTCTTCTTATTGGAGAAAGGTATTTAGAAGCCAAAATTTGGGGACTGAGGGTGCTCATTCCTGTTGGTGTGCTGCTGCTCCCAGGGCTTATTAGGCTACAGATCTAGAGGAGAGGTGTATGCATCTGCATATGTGTGAATGTATCTTCACACATCTGTGTCTATATGTATAAAAAAGGATGAATTCATTCTGATACTTTTCCTTTCATTTCAGCATTACAGGGTTTATTCTCTATCTGTGTTCTTTTCTCAGGCAGTGAGGAATCCAGCTCCCATTATCCACAATATATTTATTTGATCAATCCTAGAATACACAGAGACTAGAACTGCTCACCCAGGCTTCTTCAAGTTATAAACCTACCAGCTAGAGTTCAAAATTTGTTTAAAATACTTTTTGTCCTTATTCTGTCTCCTCAAGAAACCTTAACATATCTGCATTTTGGCATTTATCTGGGCAAAGAGACCTCATATTTCCTGATTGCCTGCAATGTGTGAGTGTGTCACACACATTCTCATATCACCCCTAAACACTCCTAGGACCTAGATGGTAGTCTTCCCATTCACTGACAAGGCCACTAAGACATGTAGAGATGAAGCAGCAACTGCTAGGTGGCATAGGTGGGATTCAAACCCAAGTCTGTCTGACTCACAGCCTATGTTTTCCTGCCATAATGTGAACATGAATGCACTTATAAGGCTGACAGAATCCAACTCTTTATAAAAAAGACAGGAGCGAAACTATAGCATCCTCTCTACTGACAGTTCTGTCATGGATTTTTTTCTTTACCAAGACTACTCAGCTGGGGCCGGGGGCTTTCTGTCTCATTTTCAGGTTTGGAAAGAGACAAGTTTGACAACAAGACTGTCACCTTTGAAGAGCACATCAAGGAAGAACACAACATGTGGCACTATCTGTGCTTTATCGTCCTGGTGAAAGTAAAGGACTCCACTGAATACACCGGGCCTGAGAGTTATGTGGCAGAAATGATCAAGGTGAGTGGGAAGGCCTCCCAGGAGCAAGGTGGACGTGGCCTGGCTTCTCAGCCTTGAGCAAGGCCCCAGCAGCCCATGGGGGAGCTCAGCAGAAAAATAACATCCGATGTTGCCTGAGCCCTTCTCACGGATGAGGCGCTGTGCTCTGTGAACTTCGTGTGTTCTCTTGAGTGATCCTCAGAGCCACCAGGCAGGTGGTATCTTCTCGTGTTAATGGGGGAAATGTTGAGCTTCAGTGAGATTAGCACATGACCGTGGAACTGGGCCTGGGATTCTAATCTGGATCAGACTCCACAGCCCAATTTCCCATCACTATATTAATCTGCCTTTTTTCTTGATAATGCTTTTTCCCCCCTTCTTTTTGAATAACACTCACTTTCTAAGAGGTGTCTTAGAGGCAAAGTGATTGCTCACTGTAGTTCAGCATGGTTTGTGTTTGCTCTCAGCCTTGCCTTTCTGGGAGACACTCTACTAATCATTAGGAGGTGATCATATGATGGAGGAATTTGAGTCCCAAATTAATCTTCTTGCTGATGGGAAGTGTGGATATCATGTCCCTGGAAGTGGGGAAGCTGCTTCAGGCTGTTTGAGTGCTCTTCTTGGGCAGGGCTTTGCAGAGTCACCAAATGTGCGCTGTGGGTATCCCAGGCCAGCTGTCCTTTCAGACCTGTGCTTTCTGAACACCATTAAAATGTTCAGGGGTGGATGGTGGAGTGAAGAGCATAAACTGTGAAATTGAGGGAGTCTTTGTGATTCACACTGGCTCCCTCTGAGGAGAAGGGGCCAACTCTCCTTCCAGTTATCAAGGACTTGCCTCTACCTGATAATGACTTACCCTAAAGGAGCCTGCTTTTTATGCAGATGTAATTTTCAAGCTTTTTATGTAAAGATACTGGAAGTCAGGTCTGTTCAGATAAGTATCATTATAGACAGACCTAGAGGCAGCCAGGCTTTCTGTTTTATTGCTGGCAGGTCAGTGGTCGCATGGTTGTATTTCCTGAATACCCGGATTACACAGGCACAGAGGCCTCTACTAGGCTCTGGAGGGCTTTCTGGAGACACTGTGCCACCTGTACCCTTGAGGTCCTTAGAGGTGAATTCTGTGCTTCTCAAATTTTAATGTACATATGAATCATCTGGAGGGCTTGTTCAAATTCAAATTCTGACTCAGCAGTCACTACCAGGACTTTAGATATTCTGCATTTCCAGCAGCCTTCCAGGAGATGTGGAATCTGCTGGTCCAGGCATCACCCTTTAAGTAGTAAGACCCTAACAGAGGAGACAAACCAGATGCCCACTTAAGATTACTCTCCAGAAGGGTTGTGTGAATGATGAGGAGAGGTATTCCTAAACCTTTACATGCATTTGGCCCTCTTTGGTTTGTAAAGTCCTTCCACCTCTAGTATTGTATCTGGTCATTCAAGTTATCCTCCATGGGGAACTCGGAGGAAGGGACTTCTAGGGTGGGGAGAGATGGATGGAGGTTCACAACAGAGGTAACTTTTGAAAAAGGTTTTGAAAGAGCGGACAAAGCAACAAGGGTTATCGATTAGCAGAAAGAAAGGAGAAAAACATCAGCACAGAGCAGGGAGAAAAACACACAAGTTGCAGAATGAGAATGATGGCTTATCCCTTTTACAGATAAAACAGGTGAGGGGTTAAGCAACTTTATAGGAACAGCTCAGAAGGAGCTGAGCCAGAATTCAAACCAGGCTTGGCTGACTATAGAAATCGCAATCCATAATCCTGTTGTTAGGAAACTGGGATTCTGGGAGCAGACCCCTATTTTTAAGCAGATTAAGGATTCTGATGAGTGCCAGTATGGATTTCCACAGGTGAGGTTTCCAGGGTCAGGACACATTAACTGAAAAGTCCTTAGTTTCTTTCTTTTCCTCCAGCTGTTGACATTGGCAAATTAAACCCTACTCGATCAGCATTTATACAGACAGACCCATCCACATGCACAGATAATGACCTTCATCTGCATTTGCTGTCTGAACGTCTAGAGGAGGCCTGTACTGTTCACCCTTGACTTATGTTCCTTCTCTCCCCTAAGTTTGTTCTCTTGTATCTCAAGTGTTTGAACGGGCCCTCTCCTTAAATCTTCCAGGGGCCAGTTTTGAGGTTTTCTGTTAATCACCTTACTTTCCGGTCACAGAAAACTCTGGCACACTTTTGGGTTTCTGTCTCAATCGTGGAGACTTAAAGGCATCTTGTGAGCAGTCACTTGATGAGGATTAAGAGTCAGAGTGACCTGTAACCCACCACCCAACCAACCCGGTTAGAGCCTGCTGCGTGGCAACACTGAGAACCTGGGCCTTTCCCCATCCACATCAGTCTTTGATTATATGAGACATCTTGTCAGAAAACCTAAAAATCTACAGCATCAAAGAATTATTCTCTGAATGTTAAAGCGGCTGCGGAACCAGATGTTCTGCACGCAAAGTGGTGGCTCAGTGTCAGATCTGCCAGCTCAGTGGCGGTGCCTTCTCGTTTGTCCTATTTGCTGTGGTGTTTGGTCTTGAAACCATGTGAATCCCTGCTGGGGACTCCTAAGGGAGCATTGGCTCCCTCAGGGTAGCAGCTGGGGTGCTCAGCTGAGTCATTTGGGGGGGGGAGGGGGGCCTGGGGCCCCTTGGGACCTCAGACCTGCAGCACAGAGGCTACAAGACCACCTGCAGGCCCCAGTTAGTCACACCCTGTGGAGGCAGCCACAGCTGAGACAAAGTCCCCACAAGCCTTCCCCCTAAGGCTGGGGGGCATCCTAACCACTGGTACTGGCAGGGAAAATCAGTAATCTCTTTGATAAGCCAACCCCAGGAGGTCGCACCTACTCCAGTGTGGAGGACAGAGAAGGGACAGCTGATGGTCAGTGGCAGAGATGGAAGGAAAAGCAGGCTGGAGGGCTCACTGCCCTCTTGCTTACCTTATGTTTTTGAGACAGGCTCTTTTAGTGTATGTGGTCCCTAAGAAAAACACCTCTTGCCTAATTACAGAAGGCCAGGGATGTTGGATTCTTCTTCAGCTCTCCTTTAGCCCATGGATGAAGATCCCAGAGACTCCTAGAGACTTGTGGAGTGGCACCTGCCAAAGGCAACCCAACAGAACCAATGGAAAAGGCCTCAGATAGCGCTTGGGCAGGGAGGAGCCCAGCTGCCCTGAGAGCAGCTCCTTGCAGATAGCAGCATCAGGGATGGCAAATGGCTTTTCATCTCAACCCACAGCTGGGTCATAGAATTTACCTGGGGCACTGTATTGAGAGGGGTTCTTGGAAACCCAGGCTGACTTGGAGAGAATGAAGGAAAGATCTGTCTGTGTGCGAAGCCATGGCCCGCCCTTCCTAGACCCATGTCCCAGAGGTGCATTCCCTCCATCGGTGGCTGCCCAGTCATGTAAAAACACAACAGCTTGGCTGGACTAGCCAAAGGTGAAATATTTCACCTTTCCTAATTCCTGCTGAAACTGGCCTGCAGTAGGTAGAAACAGTTCTATCTATCTTCTCTGTAGATAGAAACAGTTCACTTCTTGTCATCTCTGGAGGGAGGGAAAGAGGGAGCATGTGAAGAGTCTATCTTAAGTTGAGAACTCTGCAACCAGCTGTTCACCACAAGTTAATCTTGTTTAAACATTATAGATTGTATTATTTTCCTCTCCCCTTCTGGTCTTTCTCTCTCTCCTTTCACTGGAGATGGGAGTATCCCCATCAAAGCTGGGGCCAGGCTGATGTCTGTCATGAAGTCCTCACTACCCAAGAAGTGGAGGCAGCAGATCCAAGGTGAGAGTTTCTGCTCTGCACCTTCCCTCGCCGTGTGACCCCGGGCAAGTCACAGGACTTTGCTGACCTGGGTTTCCTGTCTGTACATCGTGGTTCATACCACCTCACACATCCGTTGGGTGGTAGACATGAGATAAATGTGAGCTGGCAGGTGGGAGGCACGAATGGAGGGAGGGAGCGGGTGACAGAACAACTGAGCAGTAGGCCCAGAGCACACCAGCCAGGAAGCAGAGGCTGCAGACTGGCAGCAGAGCTGATAGAAGCATCGTTTCCTATGGTTCTAAGACTCTGAGAAACACCTTGGCTGTGGGCACGCTGACACTAACAAAAGTCAGAGTGGGCATCTTGACTCTAAGTACTTCCTCCCCTGGAAAATCCCTATGTTTTCTCTCTTGAACTTTAAATCTTTAAGCGTCCTTAAAAGTTGAGGCAGGGCATGGTTGACATTAGCGTTCTTTTCTCTGTTGAATTGGGCACAGACACTTGTGAATTCCATCCATGTCTACAGTGGTTTCCTCCACTTGCTTTTACTGCCCAGAAGTAGGGCTTTCATTGATTTGGGGAGTGGACCCCGAGTTCTGTGTATTCAAGGCAAGCCTTAGATTAGATAATGAAATCATTCATGGTTCACTGGTACATTTGTCCTTCAACTCAAGCACCTGATGGAAGGTGAAACTGTCACCCAAATTGCCAGGGGAAGTGAGCCTTCCTCCACTGTAACTCACAGTGCCACCCAGTCCCTGAGATGCAATCTCATTATTCGTTGACTTGGGACCCAGGCAAGTCTATGCTTTCAGAGAAACGTGACCATGGGGTGACCAGACATAGCCCTTGGCAGATAAAGGGAAGGGGGTGGGAAAAATATCTGCTTTCCCTGCAGGAATCTGAATTTTGGTGCCATCATCATTTTGGTGATACCCTTTTTTAATAAGCAAATTTTTATTAACTTTGATCTGCATTTAGGTTTTCACAATAATTTATGTGCCGCACACCCTTTTTTGAATAATTTTAGCACTGTTTGGCTTTGCTCTCATGCCAACTAAACTGAGAATTTGTGTTAGTCTATAGATGATGATTTGAAGGGCCGTTATTGGAGCTATTTAATCGGAGTTAAGTGGTGAATTCATTATAAGCACTTTGCCTGAGAGAATTTAGATAGTGCACCCTGGGCGTGTTGTAGGTTAAAGACCAAATATTTGACTCCCAGCAAAGAAACAGCAGCCCATTTTTCTAGTACAGTCAAATGCAGGAGACTACATTATTCTTGAGAATTAGAAATTTGAGCAGCATTAAGAAGGAAGGTTGGTAAAGAAGACCAAACAGTAACTTCAGTACACAATAGTAATGATACGGAATAAGTTAAGTGCCCAACAACAAATGAGTGGAGAAAGAAAATGTGATGTACAGACACAATGGAACACTATTTGGCCATTAAAAAAAAAGAATGAAATCCTGTCATTTGTAGCAACATGGATGGATCTGGAGGCCATTATCTGAAGTGAAATAAGCCAAGCACAAAAAGAGAAACACTGACTGTGCTCATTTTTATGTGGGGGCTGAAAAGAAATTGATCACATGGAGACTTGGAAAGATAGAGAACAGAGACTGGGAAGAGTGAGTTGGGGGAAAAGGAGAGGATACAGAGAAATGGGTTAAGGGGGTACAAACGTACAGTTTGGTACAAGGAATATGTTTGATAACACAGAATGACTATAACGAACAAAAATGTGTGGGGCTCAGGGGATGGATACTCTAGATACCTTGACTTGATCACTATGCACTATATACATGTAACACAATTTCACAAATATCCCATAAATTTGTACAAATGAAAAAATATAACGCATCTCTTCTTCTAATTATAGATTTCACTTCTATATCTTGGAATTCTGCCCTGTTAACATAACTGTTATCTTTTCAGAGGTGTGTTTTTGAGTGAATGGTGCATAAAGACAGAGTGATCAGATAGAATACTGTTCATCCACATTTCAGAATGTCCTGATACCCTGGACTGCTCTGGCTCCTTCTCTAGGATAGGATATTCATTGCACAGTGAAATATTTGGGGAGAACCTGCCTCCCCATGATAGCTGGAGTGTTCTAGAATGTACCAGGGCTGCAGCTTCTGGAGGAGCAGTCTGTGCTGGAGTCTGCTTTGCCCTGGGAAGGGCAGATTAGATGGTAATGAATAGATCGTGTGTAATCAGTATGCATGAAATAAACACTCTATGTGCATGATCTCACTTAATCCTCATCACAGCATAGTAGGTAGCACTATTAACATCTTACAGATGGGAATCTAAAACTCGGGAAGGTTGAGCAACTTTTGTACGGTCGCACTGCTGGGAAGTGCTACAGCTGAGACTGAAATCCAGAGCTGCTGAATGAGAACCCACCCGCAGGTTGTCCTGACCCATATATCCACATGTGGTCACAGGTGTGGTCACCTCTATGCTCCTCCTGTTAACCTGCAGCCACTGGTTGGCTGGTGGCATCTGGTTTGGACTGGCACATCTTGGACTTGGATTGGCTTATCTCTCAGCCCCGATCCCCAAGGGATACTGAATTAGCCTCCTTTAAAAGAGGCAAGTGCATGAAAGGCCCCTTAGTGGATGGAGAGGAAAGTGGGAAAGAGGATCTCTTGGGGATGCTGACTGGCTAATGCATAAATCAACAAGGTGGGAGTTAGACGGGGTGTGATTTTCAGAGCTGCTGCTGCCGGTAACCACTGTTCAGACAGCCACCTCAAAACTCTAGGGGTTGTTGAGATGGTAGGAGTTCAAGAAAAGTTATCAAGCACAGCTCTTACAAAGGATGTATCTGAAATGATGTTGATTTTGACCTGCTGAAATATGATAAACTTCACTACCCTCACCTTAGCTTGAAACAGGGAATGATAAGTCCTTTGTGGCCCAATTTGGGAGGTGTCTAAGTAAAAGGAGGAGGACGATTCACTAGAAGCACAGCCAGACTGGAGCTTCCACACCCAGGTGACTCATCTAAATGAATATAACTCCCTAATAATTACACATGAGAATGTCTGGTCCATCATCCTTTAAGCCTGGTGCTGACTTTTTCTCACAGCAGGGTAGACACCTCTCTACCTTCTCTCTCTGCCTCTCCTGCTCCGTCTTCCTCACCCTCAACATTCCATTGGAGATTATCCAGTTTGTTCGATTACGGGTTAGTTCACTTGACCTCTTTAGAAACTAGCTATACAGGGGTCCAGAAGCAAAGGAGCAATTTTCCAGATCAAAAGTAGTCTCACGGTGGCAGCAAATGGGATGCTCTCTGAAGGTGGTGGGGTGCTTTTGCATAGGAGGGGAGAGTCCAGGAGCCCACATTCCTGGAAAATGCTTTCCTGAAAGCTTCGGGTAATTTGCTTCAAAAGAGCAACATGCAAAAGAGCCTTTTTGCCTGACAGCACCTCCTGGCAAAATTTCCAAGCAAATAAGTTCTATTAGTGAATTCAGCACTACTAAACTTCTGTAAGGAAACATTATGAGAAGATTCAAAAGCAGTAGGACATCTAGCCCTTGTGTTTATCTGTATTTGATAAGATGATATAGGAAGCAAACACAGAAAGCAACGTGTTAACAAGAGCAAAAGATCAAAATGGAAAGAGAATATCTGCATGCCATTACCTTCTGTTTAAAAGGGGACCTGGTTGAAGTCTCGCACCTCTCTTGACCCAAGAGAGCCTGTGAAATCTGCAGACAGTTTCTTAAGTGAGGACAATAGCTTCCAACCTTACGCAGTGCAAGAAACCAAGTGCAGGAGCTGGAGGGAGTAAAGTTATCTGTGGATCATAATTAGCTAACAGTAAGGACCTAGGTGTGGGGGAAAGATGGTGGCAGCGGTGACTAGAGTCAAGAAATGAGCATAAAAATTCACACAGCCTTCATGGGGCATCTCAGTTTAAGGAAATGAGAAGTTGAAGTCCCGGCCAGACAGCACTTAGGTGCAGGAGAGGGGAAGGGCGAGTCCAGCCGGGTGTGCCCTTAACCCTCCTCTGACCTTTCCGCCTGCGTATGCACCTCCTCTATGCAGCATCAAGCATGCAGGTCCTGGCTATTGATAAAGTGGTGTGGACACCCTCTGCTTTGTGCAGATGCATGGTGATGGGTTTGGGCTTTTATTCTGAATTCCAGTGAGGATGCTGGGAGGAAGGGTGTTCCTGGGTATGTTCCTAGAAGATTGATATTTCAGCGTTAGTAGTGCTGAGCAGCAGCTTTCCTTATGGCCCAACCTGGGAGGCCACGAGCATTTGGTTAAAATGTCACCTGGGCTCTGAAAGCCCTTCACCGTGGGTGAGGAGACAGCCTGTGCTGCCTGCTAAATACAACTCCCAGAATTCCTCCTGAAGTTAGCTGGCACCATGGCAGAGTCAAGAATATTGGAGCAGGGAGGAGCGAAGAGGGATTTGGCACCAGCTTCCTGGTGGCTGGAAACAGTGTGTCAGCGTCATTGGACTCACCGCCCATCCAGCCAGCCTCTCTCACCCCACCCTGTGCACTTGAGCTTGGGTTCGTGTCAGTGACAGCTGCACAAAGCAGTTGCTGAGCTTAAGTTTCCCCACCCAGCCTCAGAACACATTCTGCCCTTTAGTCTAGAGGGGATGAAATCACCCCTTGTCCCACGGAGCACTTCACGGGCACTTTCCTTTTATTGTGAAGCACTTGGCATTTGGGCCCCGGTTCTACACTGACCTCTCGGCACTCTCCTCTGAATTTCCTACATCCTGACCTTCGTGGAGGGTGTGCCAGGTGTTGTTTTAACAGTGAGTTGAGCAGAGCCATGATCCACCCTCAAGGAGCTTGTGTGCTAAGGGAGAGCATGGAGCGTGAACCAGGTATACCCAAGTCTACTCTGTGAGTCTGTGCAGGACATGAGGGTTATGCGTAGACATCATTCTATCAGCCACTGAAGATGGCTTCGCCATGCATGAAACTAGTTATCCCCGTTGGCTAGTTCATCCAGGGATGTATGGATGTATGTCCATGCTTTATTACACATATGAAATATCTGCATACATGCACATTTTCCCCAACTTGGCAGATCTGATAAGCTCCAAAGTGCATTTTCTCCCCCGGCCCATACCTTGACCCACCCTCCTGCTCCTTCCCCGACCGCAGACTCCACTGGGCTGCCCAACTTGCCCTTTACTTCTAGACTTCCTCACTACATTTGTAACTCCCCTGCCTCAACTCCTAAGTATTGACTGTGTCTGGTAGAGCTGGACTATAGTATAATAGGATACGGAGAAGTGTGTAACCACAAAAATGCATGTATAAAACTGCTCTGGCCTGGAAAATGTTCTGAATGTGACTGTCTACATCAAGTATATGTATTCAGAGTTCTTTAAAACCTAAGTCTTTACAATGAAGCCTACTGTCATGTCTCTAGGGAGTGTGAGAATGGGAAAGAGATGCTAGTATTTAGGGATAGTCATTTGTGTGTGAAAGCTATACAGGTGAACTTGACTGAGTTTTCACCTTTTACAAATCCTCTCTCTTCAGGGCTTCAGTTTTACCACCTGTAGAATGAGGAAGTTGAATCAAAGGGTCTCTTGTGCCCGTTGTAGCTTTAAGATTGCAATAAGCAACATTCAGAGTGGGGACAGGAGTTCGTGAAATATGAAACAGGAGGGTGTGAGCGTTAGGGTCTGTGTCAGGAGCAGGAATGTGGCTGACAGGAGGGAGAAGGGGACACGCTAGCTGTGTGAACACACTAGTAAATAACGGGTCAGAGTACAAGGGGCTGGTTAGAAAAAGGGAGGGTTTGGAAAAGATGAAGGAATTTGGAGAACATCCACATGATAGATGATTTCTTTCTCCCTAAAGAGAGCTCGCTGTGTGGCACCTTTCTTCCAAACCACTCTCGAGTCAATAACAGTGCTGGTAGCCTTCTCACCTCTTTATAAAGTCCTGTGGATGGTATGGAGGATAACATCTTCCATCACTTCCTTCTCAGTGTGTCTAGGCAGGGCTGACCTTAAGTAAAACTGTTTTATTTCAGAGCTTTCCAGTATAAAAGCCCATCAGATGATAAAGCTGAGATGGAACGTGGTTGCGTTGAAGCAGCTTATTGGTGAGGGTGTGTGTGTTTTCAAAGATAAATGTATCTTTCCCTAAAACAACAGCACAGGACTTTGGAAAGATGTTTCCATAAGTTTAAAACAAACACAATATATCGCTATATAAAAGTAGTAAGAGATCAAAGTTGAATACTAATGGAATCCAGAAAAGAACAGAAGAAAATCATGAAAAAATAGCTAAAATCCTTATCTGTAGCCACTGGGAATGTTCTGGCATATTTCTTAGCTAATTGAAAGTGCAGGGGAAGTTGCTTAAGTGAGCTTGGACACTGATGTGGGCAGAAGGGTGAGTGAGTCTGATTGTTCTTTATTCAGAGTCTCAAATGGGCTTGCCCTGCCCTTGTCCAGCAAGGGTGACTGGTCCCACCTTTCTCTCCTCCTGTGACCTCTGGTTTCTGCAGCCTAGGTGCCCGGGACCCAGCTGTACCCCTGGCAAGTGTGCACCCTGTGTATCACAGTCCCCGTGGGTGCCCAGGGAATACTTCACCTGTGGCCCCAGAATGACTTGCAAGGATGATTCTGCGGCTGGCTCTTCCTCTGGATTTCATCAGAAATGGGTGTGTTCTCTCTGCTGGGATGAGCCCATCTTTGTTGTGCTGTATCATCCAAGAACAACTATGGAGTCTGGGAAGGGCGATTGGTCATTCCAGTCCAGCCGAAGGTTAGATAATGTGGCCTGTTTTGGTAACGTCATTCAGAACTCAAAAGCAGAACCAGACTGATTTTACAGTTTGGATACCCTTCATGTGGCTTAGTTGGTAAAAAGAGAAATCGGTATCCCTAAACTTTTATCCCAAAGAAAGGAAGGAACTTTACACAGGAGTTGAGCACTGAAACTGGAGTCAATACCTGGATTGTAGTGCTGACTCTATCTCAGTTCTAGGCAGATGACATACTGATTTATAATACTTTTGCATAATGCTTTCCAGTTTATGGGTTGTTTTCACAGCCTTTCTGATCCTTAAAGTAACCCAGTGAGGTAGCTGGTGAGGTGATCTCTTTCAAAAAAAGAAAAAGAAAAAATAGGTTGGTGAGCTAGCTGACTCATACACTCATTCACCCTCCTGTATACACACAACTGAAACTCTTCTTATTACAGGCCATTGCTTTTTCTCCTGACACACTAACGTCACAAGGCTGTGGTAGAAAGGTACAGAACCTGTGAAATGCAGGGATATTAATATGCTTGTGGTCTGCGGTAACTGTACTTTTCAGACAAAGAGAACTGAATTCCTTCAATATGGGGCTGGCCAACAAATTCCGGGTGTGGAATTCCATTTTTAAAAAATTAATAGACTCACAAGTTAGAAGAAGAAAAAGAAACATTAAAAAGAATATTAAAACCATATTTTTAATAAGATAAAAAAAATAGTAGACTTTTCTATTTTAGAGCAGTTTGAGGTTTACAGAAAAATGGAGCACAGAGCACAGAGTTTTCATACACCCCCTTCTCCTCCTCCTGACTCCCTGCCAGTTTCCTCTGTTAGTAACGGTTTGTATTGTGACCTGCTTGTTAACATGTGATATACCAATATTAGATACATTGTTATTAATGTCCCTCCATCATTTGTGTCTTACTTTTCATGTTGTGCATCCTGTGGGTTTTCACAATGTAAATGACAGGTATCTACCATTACAGTATCATAGAAGTTTCATTGCTCTAAAAATCCTCTGCATGCCTCCGATTTATCACTCCCTCCCTTCCTCCTACTGAGCCTTAGGCTGTCTCTGATACTGTGTCCAAAGTTGGGACCCATTTTTTAGGGTTTTTTTTTTAAACATGTATAATACATATATATATTCTGTGATGGAGTCTTGCTCTGTTGCCCAGACTAGAGTGCAGTGGCACGATCTCAGCTCACTGCAACCTCCGCCTCCGCCTCCTGGGTTCAAGCTATTTTCCTGCCTCAGCCTCCTGGCTAGCTGGGATTACAGGCCCATGCCACCACACCCAGCTAATATTACTATATTTTTAGTAGGGACAGGGTTTCACCACATTGGCCAGACTGGTCTTGAACTCCTGACCTTAGGTGATCTGCCCACCTTGGCCTCCCAAAGTGCTGGGATTATAGGCGTGAGCCACCGTGTCCAGCCTATAATAGATATTAAGTGGCATTTCAGAGCCACTGAACATAGTTAAAGATGATTACTTTTTCATCCAGACCAGTAGATTCTGTTTTTTGTTTTTAGAGGGTTTTCATTTTGTTTTGCTGTGATCTTAGAATAATTAGCTCTAAAGATTAATTTTTTTCTTCCTCTTCAATGGAAATAATCACCCTAGCTCAAAAAGGGACAAATGATTTAAAGTCCATTAAGTATTCCATATTTCTGCTTTTGAAGAGATAAATATTACCTTCAAGCCTCCTACTCCTGACTTTTTCTGAGGGTTTAAATACATGCGTGACCAAATCTCTTGTTTCCAGGCCTACCTACCCCGTACCCCCTTCTAGTCATTTCCGTCACCTGAGCAACCTTAGGCATTCTAGGAGCTTCCAGTTTGTCTTCCTTCCTGCTAAGAGCAGTAGAAATGATGCTGCCATTTGGGTTGAAAAGACCATCTCTGCCTCCTTGAATCTTCCCAGAGGGGATTCTCAAGGGCAGAGAAAGCAGCAGGATCATTTTTCTAGGACCCATCTTCTCTCCCATGACCCTTTCTTTTGCCCTCAATCCCCCCCTCCCTCCACTCCAATAAACACCTCATTCTCTGATTTGGCTATAAAAGATTTGACTATAAAAAATGTTCCATTGTTTAGGTGGTAAACATAATACTGTACCTAAGCAGACTTTCTCTGAGGAGGTGATTGATTACTCGGTAGTCTTTCTTAGAACAGCCTCTTCTTTTGAACCTGGGAAGTAAAAAAAAAAAAATACCCCACTTCTCAGAATGATTAGCATTTGCATCACACAATCCAACTTCCTCCTCCTCCCTCCCTCTCCCTCTCTCTCTCTCTCCCTCTCCCTCTCTCTCTCTCTCACACACGCACACGCACATGCACACTCTCTCTCTCTCTCTCTCTCTCTCTCTCTCTCTCTCTCTCTCTCTCTCTCTCTGTCTCTCTCTCTCTTTCCAGTCAAGGACATTTCAAGAGGTTGGTCACTACCACCCCTGTGTCTAAAACTTCAGTGTTTGCCTTCGCAGGGACTTTTCCAACTTTACCTAGAAAAGAGCTAACCAGAAGCTTAGCACTTGTGGTCAGCCTGCTTCCGGCTGTGGCTTCAGTTAGCTTGTCTGCTCTGAGAGAGGAAGCACTTGCTGTGACGGGAACTGCACTGGCTGGATTGTAGGAGGACCAAGGCAGACAGTGCCTAATGGCATTGGTATGTGAGATGCCAGCAGCAAGGAGTGAGCAAAGCAAAGCAGAACGAGTCAGACCCAGTGGCAGATTCGGCCAACAGGCACTCAGTGACCCCATAATCCTCTCCCTACTACATACACACACATCCCAAGATAATTCACAGTAGACAAAGTATCTGAGCTGAAGATGACTTTTCCAAAAATGCATTAGAAGCCAAGATACTGAGACACGTTTTTGATCTTGAATAGATAATGCAGGCAGGATTCTGCAAACATTTCTAGGCCTTCAGACTCTGGGTGGCTGGAGACGCGTCGGGGACAGACTTCACTGGAGTCATTCATTGCTCAGCCTCAGAGTTTTGTATGAAAGTCTTAGCTACAGAGAAAGTAATTGGATTCAGGTGTTCTCTCTCTGCACCTATTCCAGTAATTGGGTTAGTCTAAACATTTGCATTGTGAGATTTAGATTCTCTGTGCAGAGGGGGACCCTGCTGGTGGGGAACCTTATACCATACTAGAGCCTATCCTACACAGGGTGCAAAACCAATGGGAAATTGAGAGAACACTCTGGCTAAAATTGCTAATTAATTTTAACTACCAGGTACTCCTTGGTAATTTGAGATTTAATGTCACAGCCCAGGATGATCATTTAATTAAAACACTGGCAACACCTAGGATCTCAAATTTGGGGTTCTACCCACTTCAGTGCAGAAAAGATCATGCTTCCCGATGGGATCCCTCCTAGCCCAGCTTTTCATTATTAGATATTAAGGGAAGCAATGGGGAGAATCTGTGTGGTGATGATTGATAAACTTCTAGACCAGAAAATCCTTTTGCTACCTTTGCATTGAAGGCCTCCTGTGAAATGGAGAATGAGGCTTTATCCCTAGGATGGGAGCACATGGCCCATGTGGCCTGCAAAAAGTATGACCTTCTTTGAAGTGCTGGATTTTATCTTTAACATTTGATTGAGCATTCTGGGAGGCAGAGGTGGCTGGATCACCTGAAGTCAGGAGTTCAAGACCAGCCTGGTCAACCGATCTCTACTAAAAAATACAAAAATTAGCTAGGCATTGTGGTGCATGCCTGTAGTCCCAGCTACCTAGGGAGGCTGAGGCATGAGAATAGCTTGAACCTAGTAGGCAGAGGTTGCAGTCAGCTGAGATGGCAGCACTGCACTCCAGCCTCAGTGACAGAGCAAGACTCCATCTCAAAAACATAAATAACATTTACCTTTCTCTTCTGGTCTAGGTAACTTTTTGAGTTTAATATAAAAATATTTCCATCATTTGCCATTGATTAAAATGGATATTCTACATTCTAAAAAGACGCAGTATTTCTCTTTATGGCTTTATGTACCCCTTGGGTGAGGCCATCAAGTCCCAGGATTACAGGTATCCCATGTAGCAGCACAAGATGCAGGGCTTCAGTTCCTCTCCACCACCACTGAGGCGAGGGGCACCGATGCTAGGAGCAGCCTTTGGCATGCTGATGGGCCCCATTAGAGTCTTCAGCACACACTCTTTAGGCACTCACACTTGGAGGTAGGTAGAGAGAGCCAGAGGGAGCTCCACAGAGGTGAAGAACTATACTTTGGGACCTGGCCAGTGACCACAGTTCTTGGACTAAAGCAGCTTGAGGACAGAGACCTTGTCTTTCTCATCTTTAGATCCTCAGCGCTCAACCTCATGCAGGAAACAGAAATTGTAAAAGTTTGGTAAAAGACTGTTAGATGGAGAAAGTCTGTGCACTTTGCATTTATTCATTCAAAGACCCTTCTGAAATCATTGCTTGGAGGGCCTGGAATCACATATGGCATGAAAAAAGGTGATCTGCCATGAAAAATTCTCATTTTAATCCGTAGTCATTTGGTCACTTGCTATTAGAATAAGGGAGAAAAACTGTTCCTTAAACTTCTAGCTATGTGCAGACTCTTGCATTGGTTTTCTGGAGTCTTTCGAAGGCCTCATTAATGTGGACTCTGTTTGGAAATCTGTGTTTTCTATTTTTATAGAAGGTTTGCTAAGCAAATGAACATATGAAGGATTTGAAAGCCAGATTTTAGATGGATTCACTAACATTTTGGGCAGTTTAGCATTCATTTGCATGTCAGTAATAAGTGAGCTACAGGTGAGTTCTGACTACTAGCAGTGAGGACCAGGGACGTCCATCGCCTCGCTCTCCCCAGGTCTGGTCGGGGAGGGCGGCCTTTCACAGATCTCCTGTTTCCTTCTGTTTCCCTCGTCTTCACTGTCCAAGCTGCTCCTGCCTGTCTGCCCTCATCCCCAGCTCCAGCCACACTGGAGCTTTACTGTGCCAGTGCCCTCTGTGAAATGCCCTCACGCTTGCCCAGGGGCTAACCTTCTTTAGGGCCAAGCCTTGCTTGAAGAGGATTCTGGCCAGTCAGTCATTGCCTGTCAGGTCTTACTTGGACGCTACTGTCTCTACCGCTCCTAGATACAACATAGCCTGCATTATTCCTTATTTTTTATTTTTATTTTTAGAGAGTCTTGCTGTCACCCAGGCTGGAGTGCAGTGGCACAATTATGGCTCACTGCAGCCTTGACCTCCTGGGCTCAAGTGATCCTCCTGCCCTAGCTTCCTGAGTAGCTAGGACTACAGGTGCCCACCACCACACCCAGCTAATTATTTTTATTTTTTGCGGAGATTTCACTCTGTTGGCCAAGCCAGTCTCAAACTTCTGGCCTCAAGCTGTCCACTCACCTTGACCTCTCAAAGCACTGGGATTACAGGCATGAGCCACCATGACTGGCCTGTTAAAAAAAAATCTAGATGATCAGTTTCCTTAACTAAATTGTAAGCACTTTGATGAAAGGAATTCTATCACATACTTAGGTATCAAAACTGTTTCTCCTTTGAGGGGGTCCAGGATGCAGTGACCATGTCTGTGTTGCTCCCTGTAGTATCCTCAACATTGTTATATCCAAAGAGGGACTTTGGATCTTTTTTCTTCAATTTGTTTTCCTCAATTGAGGTCAGTCTGCAAAACTATGTAGCAGCCACCGTGAGTATCTAGGACCTTGTGCTGTGTGCTCTCTGCAGCTGCGCTTTGGTTTGTGGCTTCAGCAGCCCAGCCCACATCATCCCTCCTCCCCTCGCCCTTGTGGGAGTGAGTGATCACCAGTGACCTGTCGCCTGTGTGCCCTCTTCTGAAAAATAAGCGTTCCTCATCTCTCGAACATGGGCTACTTCCTTGTTGGGAAGACATGGCTACGTCTGAAGGACTGACGCAGGGGAGATGAGTATAGTCAGCAATAGGTCATTGCAGCTGCACGGTAGAAAACTGGTTGCAGAGGGGGAAGCACTTCAGGTTTCTAAGCTAGTCATCTCTGAAATGGAATATTTTTTTAACGATCTTTTGCCCATTGCTCTGTGATGGGAAACTGATGAATATAAGCTAACGTTAAGACACATGAAGTGTTTATGCAGAGTACAGGAAGGTAGAAATTGCCCTTTTTCTCCTTCAGCGGTCATGGTAAGCAGCTCAGGCTTACTACTTAAGCATTTGTTAAGGGTCCATGTAGAAAAAGAATTGTATATCATTCTGTCCTTCCATAGCTTATACTAAGGTGGTTCCTGCCTTCATAAAGCTCACAAACTAGTGACTGTGACTCTGCCCGCCCACCCACCAATATCTTAAGCAAACACTCTATGACTCCTTGTTGCCAATGTAGTATGACTTCTTGTGGTAGTTTTCATCTAGGTCTTATTTGGCTTCTCTATCACTAGGTGGCCTTAGGTCATGATGCAGTCTAATGATCTCACTTGATTTGTAATGTTTGGACATGTCTCATGAAGTATTTTAAATATACTGATGCCTTCTATATACAGCAGAGGTGAGCAAACACAGCCTGCTACCCGCATTTGTAAAGAAAGTTTTATTGGAACATGGACATACCCATTTATTTATTTACTGGCTGTTTGGGGGTTACAACAGAGTAGTTGAGTAGTTGTTACAGTGACCAGGTGACCCATAAAGCTGAAAATATTTACACAAAAAATGTTGCCGACCCCCATGGTGTACACAAAGCAACAATTACTCACCATTCTGAGTGTGTGTGTGTTTGGGTGAGAGGGCTTGATTTGTTTTAGAAAGACCATTAAGTGTATCCTTATAAGATGAAACTGGTCCAGGTGAGAATGACACCAGACATGTGGAATGAGTCAGTTTTCTTCCCTTGGTCTCAGGATAAGCTTTTCTTACTGTTCATTCCTGCCTCTCTGTACAGAACTGATATATGCGGCATGCTCTTTGGGAGAAAGGCATATGTGGGCAGAAGGAAGTGAGGTGGGAGGAGGAGTTGTCCCATTCTGTTAACCAGTAGTGAGAAATACTGTTTACAGGCATAAGCTATAGACATCAAAAGGATGGAGATGGACGGGGGAGGAAACTGAATGGGCCTTTCTTAAACTAGTTGCCAGCACTCATCAACCATTTCAGGCTGGAAGGAAAAGGAAGCAAGAGGAGTAGTTTCCGTAAGCCCACAAATGGGGACCTTGACGGGCGAGGGAGCCGATTTCCCATTTTCAGCCTCTTAATGATCCCTCACCCACACAAGTGCATACATGCACATGTAGCTGTTAAGTGCCAGAACACTTGGGACCTTAAAATTCACCTCACTTAGAGTGTTTGCAAAACGTTTTCCCAGTACAATGCATTTTAAAACACACAGCATAATATGAGATTCCCGGAGCAGTCAAATTCATGGAGACAGAAAATAGAATGATGGCTGCCAGAAGCCGGGGGATGGGGTTAGTGTTTAATGGGGATGGAATTTCAGTTGCAGAAGATAAAAAAATAGTTCTGCAGACAGATGATGGTGATGCTTGCACAGCAGCGTGAATGTACTTAATGCCGCTAAACTGTATGTTTAAAATGGCAAATTTTATTTTATGCATATTTTACCACAATTTAAAAAAAAAAACTCATCAGCCATGTAATTTGCAAAGATCAGAGGAGCAGTGGCAGTATTCAGATTTGGAGATTAGGACTCTTGTTTGGAACCTATGTTTCCCTTACATTTAAATGTAAAGCAACTTCCTCTTAGAATTAAGAGTTCCACTTGTATGCAATTAAAACGATAGCTACTGAACAATTAAAATACACAGCACACTAGTTCTGCAATAGACAGAGGTAACCTAATGAGAGTTGGGTTAGGAAACATGGCATGGTAAGCTGGCTTTTTTTTTTTTTTTTGAGACGGAGTTTTGCTCTTGTTACCCAGGCTAGAGTGCAATGGCGCGATCTCAGCTCACCACAACCTCCGCCTCCTGGGTTCAGGCAATTCTCCTGCCTCAGCCTCCTGAGTAGCTGGGATTACAGGCACGTGCCACCATGCCCAGCTAATTTTTTGTATTTTTAGTAGAGACGGGGTTTCACCAGGATGGTCTTCATCTCTTGATCTCGTGATCCACCCACCTCGGCCTCCCAAAGTGCTGGAATTACAGGCGTGCACCACCGCACCCGGCCCTCTTGTTTTTACCTCTAGAAGTGACTCGGTCTCTCTCTCTTTTTTTTTTTTCTAATATGGATTCTAGGAAAGAAACCTTGACTGGTTCCCCAGGATGAGAGCCATGTCATTGGTCAGCAGTGATTCTGAAGGAGAACAGAATGAGCTGAGGAACCTGCAGGAGAAGCTGGAGTCCACCATGAAACTTGTCACGAACCTGTCTGGCCAGCTGTCAGAATTAAAGGATCAGGTAAAGAAAGGAAATCCCAGTCCCTACCCCCCATCCCCACTCCCATTCCTCCCTACTATCATCACATCATATGTGATGAGGAAAAATCAGTAGTGCTTATGTTACAATGTTGATGCGCTTCACCTAGATGGAAAAGGGAATCGGGCCACAGAGGACAAACCCACTGACTCCTCCAGTCTCCTCGCCCCAACCCTTTCACTGCCCTTTTGCAAGATAAGGTCACGGTGCTACTTTGAGTGCTGCTCAGGACGTGGTTTTAATATGAAAAACAAAAGCAAAAAATGGGAAAATACAATATACTTCAGTGAAGTCCTGTCCAAAAATCACTATACATAAAGCTATACTTTTTTATTTTATGCACTGGTGGAAGATTAAAAGCTATTTCTTCCTAGCCCTCAGACTTGTCATATCTTCACCCCAGATATTTAAATTCAGCATCCTGGACTAAACCATAGTCATGGAAAAACCCTTTTGGTTTCATTCCTTTCTCAGTGGCTTATAGAGTGACTATTATAGTACAAGAATTATATCAGGTGCTGGGGATAAAACAGTGAACAATATAGACATACTCCTGATCTCACGGGGCTTAACCGTCTACAGAAATACTGCCCGCATCCTGCTTCCTATCCGTAACCTAAGTGCTTTGCCCTTATCGTATGGATAGGAAACAGGATGCGGGCGGTATTGCGGGCAGAATTTAAATGGGAAACAGGGTGTTTCCCATTTAAAATAAGTTGTAGGGGACGTATTTATACCAAATCATTTGTGCTTTTCCCCCCACTTTTCACTCCATTGAAATGAACATGCCCCAGTCACCAGGTGGTTATCTAGTGATAGGATGCAGCTGTGTGCTAAGGACTTGTATCCTGGGTGGTGAGCAGACTCTGATTGGTTTTATTAGTGCTTTTCCATAAGTGACTGGGACAATCATTTTCCATCCAGCATTTTATATGAGTTTCTGAAAGCTCCTTAATCAACTCCATAGACAAGATTATAATGTTGCACAGCAACAGGCATGGGCCATGTCTATGCTGGAGGTAAGTTGCAAGGTATACCCACAGGTGATTTATCACTCTTATAAATACCGTAACTAATGAAGACCGCATCTAGAATACTCTTACTGGAGATGCTTTACAGGGCATCTTTAATACTCATACTTTGAATTATGTTAATATATCTTTTCAAACTAAATTATTCCAAACTGTGCCCCAAGATACCACTGGGCCTCAAGTTTTCTTTTGTCTGTATTAAGATGCAAATAAAAAAGACTAATAAGAAAAGAAGGCCCTATTTATGAAGGCTGTCTATAGCTCTGAGCTTGGTAGTAACATAAAATGAGTAATAATCTAAATAAGTAAAACAAGTGAAGATCTAACTAACTAGATTACTTTGCTTAATACTAACATTTTACCGCCACTGTGAAACGCCTGGCAAGTGTTCTGTAGGCCTAAACTGACTCATGAGGACACTGGTGGCTACAGCTGCTTCTGGCACTGCCTCCCACAACCCCCCATCAAGGTGAACTTCTTTACGAATCCTGCAAGCTTTAGTTGTCTTCTTCTCCCATTTGAGATGTTTAAATTAGGTACCAAAAAATCTTACAGAAACTGAGCTAATACTTAAATATAAGAACAGTTCAGTTCTCCATAAAATCTGGTGCCATTTTCCAAAGAAGCAGAGGATCTTTGTTTCACGCCCATGGTACTGGAATTGCAACAGTGAGGCATTCTAGCTCTCACGGGCCAATGCAACCAGCATTCATTCTTGCTGACTCATTACTGCTTCTCATTGTCATACTTGGAAGCTTTTGGGGGGTATGTTTCAGTTGATCTGAGAAACTGGGTATTACCAATTTACTAGAGAGTTTCTTAAAATGTATCTGAAACTATTAATGGGCATTCTCTGGTGGCAAAACCAAGCAACACCTCCCTACACTACCTGTCCTTTCAGAGCTAAGAATCTGCTGTTTTGTTCACATAGAGTGATTCTGAATCTGCTTCAGTGCACACCTTGCAAACCAGTGAGCCTAGTCAAAGGGGTGATTTGAGCTGAGGACTCAGAGTGAAGAATACAGGTACAGGAGAGTACCTGAGGCTTCAGATGTCATCTCATCTCATTCCCTTATTTTTTTGATGAGGATGCCAAAGGAGTCCAGACGGCTCTTAGGCATGGCCAGGGCAGGAGCTCCTGCTCCCCTAGTCTGGGTGGGGGTGTGTGTGTGTGTGTTTTCATTTGCTTGGTTTTGTTATGTGCTGTACTGTTTGCCTTTCATGGTTGACTGTTTAAATTCTTAGTCTTTTTTTAAAAAAAAAAAAAAAGCTTACAGTTTCAGAAGTCACGTTGCATCATATACTTAAATGGTATGGGGGATCCATTCATTGTCATTTTATACAACTGAGCACAGTAGAGACTTGGCATTTCTAAAATCCAATATAAGATTATTTTGGTTAAGCCAAAGTTTTAGTTTAAACAAAATATGTAAAATTTGATTACATATGGACTAAGGTTCATTAAGTGACATTAAAACCAGTATGGTTTAAACTGCTTGATTCCAGCCTTTTATGCATTTTTTTATTTTGAAGTTGGCAGTTGGAACCACTCTTTAGAAAGCCCTTCCCCTGTGAATAAATTTGAAATTGAACTGTTTTTTTCTTGGAATATATTATAAGTTAAAAAGAAGCACGAGAAACCAGTAGTACATTCTCAAGTGCTTTTACCAGGATTGAGCTACTCAAGTTCAAGTTTTAAGGTATCCAGAATTACAGGAAAAATTCTGCATAGCTTTTTTTTTTTTTTTTTTTTTTTTTTTGAGGGGGCAGGAGGATTTGCATCTTTCCGAAGGAACTAGTCAGTGTTTTTTTTTTTTTTTTGGTTATGTAACTTCCTACAAACCTTTAATGCATTTGAGAATCAACTTGTTCAATAGATTTGAATTTTATTAAGATTGGTTATAGCAATCATAAAGGTTTAAAACCCTTCATGTGCAAAACATATTAAAAAGTCATGCAGATATGTTAGAGAGCTGCTCTTTCTTAAATAGTAATTGTGAGAATTCTTGTTCTCTGGGGGAAAAATTTTTGAATTAAAAAATAAAAGCCCCACGAATGACTAGTGAACAAGAAACCTTGTGATATTTTTTAAAACAGCTATGAAAGAATACCATTCACTAGTAAAAGTGCTAGAAAACACAAAAATTGCTCCATTACTTGTTTTTTTTTTTTTTTTTTTTCAGATTTTAAGATTCAAAAATCAGCAGAATGGAGCAATGACAGCTTAAACGTAGATGACTTTGGTCTTAATCTTTACTGTTATTTTCTTCTTTAGTTGTTTTGTTAATCTACCAATTTGAGGGAAAAAAAGTTCTTGTGAGGATATTAGTAAAATTATGGTTAGTGGTGTCACTTCTATTATTGCCAAGCATGGTTGGTTAGGATTGCTCTTCTAAGTATTACTTAATGATGCATCTCATCTTGAAGTGTCCCCTCCCAAGAGATTCTGAATACTAAATGTGATTCTCTTACATTCTTATTCCAAGGAGGAGAACTAATGTAAGAACTTAAAATGCTTTGTGCATGTTTTCTTCATAATGCAAAAGAGCAAATCCTAAGAAGGGCTAACTTTCTTGAAAATGTGACTGGCTTCCTATAGGACGGTGACCATTGTTTTTTGTTGCTAGGAATACAAGAAGTGCTTGAAAATTCAGATTAGCATGTTACAGCATTTGGCATTTTTCATGCAAGAGGGTTATCTTGCTAAGATTAACTGCTTAAGGACAGAAGGAATAACAAAAGATTAGAATAACTGCCCAAAGTTGGAAAATGGAATATTAAACACCCCTTCCTGCATCGATGTTCCTTACACTGTGCTGGGACCACAAAAGAGGACTAAGTCAACATCTGTCCTCTAGATCCAGGATCTAGCAAGAAGGACAAAGAAGTAGACCTCTAGCAATCTGATACAGTATGAATGACTTGAGGCGTGAATACTTTCCTGAAGCACAAAGAAGTAGGTAGGTAGTGGTCCTGTGTGAGGTTTGAAGTGAAGAATGAGTTTAGCTTCTGTAATCTTAAAGCAGGTAACTTCTGAGCTGGCAGAGAAATGCAGTAGGGGGCTTCCCAGGAAAGGAATCAGCATGAGCAACGGCATGAAAATGCATGGCATGCTCAAGGAATAGCAGTATGGACTGGTTAACGCCGTTCCTTCTTTTCGCCCACATGTATGAAACACCTGTTTGCCAGGTGCAGCATTAGGTACTGGGGCTACAAAGATGAATAGATCCTATTCTCTGCCTTCAAGAACTAAAAGTCTAGAGTGGGAGACAAGTAAACAGAGAAATTATAATTAAAGATGGTGAGTGTGTAACCAAGCTATGAACACATTGCTCTGGGAATGAAGAAAAGGGAGTGATTTGTTCATCCGATCTTCAGAAGAGGATTAGAGTAATTACCACAGAAGTCTTCTCAGAATTGGTATTGTAGGAGCTTGGTTTCAAAGCATCAGAAAGAGTTGGCCAGGTAAAATAGAGAGGAACAGAGCATTAGGGATCTACTCCAAGAATCCTAAACGGTATTTCTACATTAATATTAAATCAACATAATTGTATTCAAGGGATGCTTTAGTTTCATTTCTCAGTATTTGAGGCTCATCATTCTGAGCATGACTGATTTTATAAAGCTGTAGAAAGTAACTGTGATTATTTGAGTTTCCTGGCTGTTTAGAATCTGAGTAACCAAGACCTTACTGTCACATGAAAGCAGCTTTCATGTGTTATAAACCAGAAATGTGGCATTTGTGTGCTGTCAATGAACTTTCCTTCCTGTGCCAGCCTTTAATCATTAAG